TATGATATTGTTAAGTGTGCTCGTTGCACTCCTGATACAAGACGTTTTGTTGAAGTGGAGCAAGTTTTGTTTTGAAAACATGTAACTCTTTGTGGAGAAACGACTTGGCAAAACTTTGTATACAAGTTTTAGAAATTAATTTTGTTATATTATGCTTATACCCCAGTAACGCCACTCTCGAAAATAATTATTAACAGTGAATATAATTTTAAAAATATAATAAATAATTTATTACCTATGCATTCTAATTAGTAATTGCAATGTTATGTATGTGTTCTGTAGTATCACATTAAGTTATGTTTTCCTTGTTATCTTATCAGTTGGTTCTCTTAATAACATAGATGCTTTTGAGAATTATTTGTTAATTATATTAAAAAAAAAAAAAATCTAATTTTGTAAACCGGCCTATTATTTTTTCATTTTTTTAAGGATTAAATTTATTTAAATTTACAAATGGGTTCTACCTGATGCACCATAAAGTAACTGGAGAAATACAAAATAGTAATAAGCCTCATATTATACGGTTTGTTTGTACTTTTAAAGCAGCGACTTCCGGAAATTGTAAGCATACTGTTGCAGTTCTGTTGTACTCGTATTTAAATAGGTATATTTTTTTATTGACCTGATTACCAGTAGGTTGGTAAATTGTTCATACCATAAAAGTTACTTTTTATAAATGTATCAAACACCTGTCTTGTGTGAAAAACTGACAAGAACAACTGCGACTGAAGGAAAATAGTTTTTGAATTATATCATAACAAATGATGTGTACAAATTAATTATTACACAATAACACAGAACATTGATTAATATTTTATTATACGGCGTATTACAATAGCGCAAACTGTCTATATTGTACACCGAATTAAATTACTAAAACTTTTTATTTTAATTTAAAACTACGTTTATTATAATCTTAGTTTCTCCAAAGTTCGGTTAAGTTATAATGAACTTTTGAATACCAAATTTGGTGCTCAAAGCACTCAATTCGGTCGGTCTGAAATTTAATAAATATTATGTTTTGGAGGCTTTTATTATAAAATATACAGTCGTGTTGTCTTGTTTTTATGTTAAAATAAACGTATCCAGCTATACTTTAGCGCGGCCACGTTTGGTGGCGCTTTTCAGTCTCTGCGCGCAGGTATCTTCTTAATAAAGTGACCAAAGTATAAAGATAGATTATTTAAAGTAACGTTTTGATTTTGAGCGGTTTATCGCGGTCAGTGTAATGAAAGGATCACTCGTTACCGTTTTGTTTCATACTGTACATTAAGAGCTTAGCGGACGTCAAACGAGAAGGGGCTGTATTTTACGGGTAGTGAAAAAAAAAAAGACAATATTGGCCGGAAAAAAACTACATCAAATTCATCAAGCGTTAAAGGAACTGATAAATAATAGAATTACCGCAGCCATCGAGTTTAGTTAGTGTTTTTTCCCTTCTCTTCTCTGGCTTGTGAATTTACGGACCGCAATATGTCAAGTCTAATTGGACAGTGGTGGTTGACCTGCGGTCTTATTCTTGTAGAGCTATTGACATTTAGATCTCTAACAATATTATATTAGCAGTCGGTCGGATCATTTAAATATGATCAGCAAGACCAGATTGTATACAGCCACTAGAATCCAATAAATTGACTTATTTTGCATACATGACGTTCCAGTTAAAGAACAGTTTAGTTAGGGCTTTTGCCATTGTGGTATTTTTTTATTTTTGCTGCTCATATCATTATGGCAACAGACGTATACTTTAAACCGATTGAATCACTGAGAATTTGACTAATATCTCAAAATCGAATAAGTTCGAAGACGCGCAATGGTAAATTTGTCGTTTCATTTTTGGATAAATTGTTTAAATTAATATCGTTTCGAGTTCGGTAGTATTGAAATTATAAAAAATAGTTGTGTAATTTGATTTTTATGTAACTGGCATCAGAGTTATTATGTTATGGTCTTTTTTAAGTGACAAGATTTTTTAGCTTCGGTGCGGAGCTGAGAAGGTATTGTTTTTACAACGATGTGTTTTTATTTTTTATTTTTGTGTCTGGACCCACGATATCTTGTAAACCGCTCAACCGCTTTCTTCGTGTACCCCAAAAACTCCAAAAATAGTGTAAATTTACACTTTGGCCGTAGTCAGTTTCTAGGTTGCTATGTGTGTGTGAATCAACAGTCAACGGGTAATGAAAATATTTTTATTATATTGTTAATTATGATAAATGGGTGACTATGACAGTACATTTTTATAGACAGACGATCAACCCTTATCGTATCCACCCTGCACAAGACTTAATATTAAATTTTAAGTACATTTTTGCTGGTCCCACGATATCTTCTAAACCACTATAACTAGTTTGAACATACTATCCACTGATTCGCATCGAAGTGTTTATTTAAAAGTAATTTCATCATTTTCAGGTATAATAAAATCTGTAGACCTGTGACCTCTCCGTCCCTACTATACCCCGACCCCACTGTACTGGCATTTTTTTAATATAACGCTATTGCTGAATTATACAAGTCTGATGCAGAAATAGCGTTAAAATTTAATTATCGTATTTAATTTAATTTATATAAAAAAATTGAATTACCGTCCTGTTATGATGATTTGTCGTTTCTTTACCGGATTTTTAATAATTACATTATTTCAAACAAAATCAATACCGCCCAGTTGTGAGGTTTAAAACTAATCAAATAATGTCGCAGTACGTTTTATGGGATTTGTGTTTATACCAGGTGAATCTTTTAGGAAAATATAAATATTCGAAGTCCTTCGATAAATAAAAGGGGGGGGGGTGCTCTGGCATGGGGACTTTGATTATAAAATTATGTGAGGGGGAGAGGGGGTAAAACCAGCAGCGGCGAACGACAAACAAAATGGCGGCAGAAAGAAAATAATATTGGGGGGTTGAATCGCTTCAGTCTACAGGCAGCAGCGGAGCGAACAACACTTAACTTATATATGTAGCACAGTCCTGAAGATTGTAAGATGAACACCTTTGGCAAAGCCAATTTACATACAAATTTGAATAAATGGTAGTTAACATTATCTACTAGTTATGGGGTCGGCTCAGTCCTGGAAAACCTCACAACTACTATGATTTTGAGTGTTGGACAGCGAATAAGCGAATATAGGATACTCTCCAGACTATAGTACCTTGTACTATGATATTATTATTAGTATATATATATTGGTTCAAAACGATAGCTCTACATATTTTCTTTTGAACAAATTATCTGATTTTCATCAATTTTATCTGAATGAAATCTATCTAGTTAATTTAATTATATTTTTTTGATGGACATTTGATCCAAATATATCTTGGATTCTGCTTCCGTTGTCATTGAAACTTTTCAAATAAAAATAAGACAAATAAGTTATTTTGCATACACGGCACGTGCCACAAAACGAACGAGTGAACTTGACAAAAAAAATCTCACATAAATGGAGTAGAAAAGAAGCAAAGGAAGTTATAGTTAGGCGTACTTGGCATTGTTTTGCGAACAGCCGGTGTAAGAGCACGCGCTGGGCGTTGAAATCGTTTTGCATTGAATGTGTAGTGTCGTCTGAGATAATTGAATCAAAGTGTAGAAGTTATGGAAGACATGCGAATGCGAATGTTGTTAACGGTAAACTGAACAACCTATTGATGTGTGTTTTTTGAATTTTTTTATTTTGTCTGTTGTTGCCCCTTTTCATATAACATAATAAACGTATACATTCGAAACGATAAAACGTTTTAAGACTTTTTATTGAATTATTTTCACGACAGCGAGGAAATACAGACTGACGTTGGTGCGCTCATATAATGCACGAATGAGTGAACCGATAGAAAACGGAACACGCGTTGTTACTCTGGGTATTGTGTTCTGGGCTGATTTTGAAGTATTCCGTTTAACCTAAACGCGTTATATAAAAAAATCTTCTGCCAACGATACGGAAAATATTTTTTTCATCTCGCGTGGAAAATGTCAAGCAAGCTATTAGTGTACAAGTGCAGTTGCTGTGGCGTAGACATGTTGTAGTACAGCTCTATACCGACATCGCCGTTGTGGCAAAGGGCAGGAATGACCGAAACAGATATCCGACAAGTAGATTTTTTTTTTTTTTTGTGAATTACTTTTTCCAGCACACGGTCGCATGGACTTATTCGCATGGCTTTATTAATTTGTTAAATATCTAATTTGTATTGTATATAAAAAAAATGGTGGGCACGAGGATGACCTGCAAATAGGATAAATTGTGCACTGATAAAGTGCAAGGACATCTTCCTGTCACACAAAAACACATGACACCTTTGACAGGAAGATGTGGTCTGTACGGTTGGAAGATAGATTTTTTTTTAAACGGTAGTGAGGCCAGCAATGATGCCTGAACAGAGGACGAGTGTAGCGGAGATGAGAATGCTAAGATGGACGAGTGAAGCGACTAAGATGGATAGAATAAGAAATTAATACATAAGGGGGATTCTAGGAGTTGCATCAATTGTGGTGAATATGAGAGAGATGTTATAGGGAGAGATAAGGCAGAGACAGTGAGAGTTGTTATGAAGATGAATGTCGAGAGAAAGAAGAAGACCGAAGAAAAGATGGATGTGCCTTAAGAAAACTAGCGAGTAGTAAGTATTGTTAATAGGCGTTGACTGTAAAAGTAGCTCAATTTGCTTCTAGTGGCATATACTTTTGTCTAAAGGCGGTACATTTGCTTTGTTTCTTATACTTGGTTAGGTTAGGTAAAAATAGTATTTATGCCACCGGGTGACTCTTAATAATCCCTGCGCTGATCTTAATGATGATAAGTGTTGTTTAGCAATTTTATAGCACAAAAAGTTAACTTAAACATTATGTGCTCAAATTAGAGAGCTCAGAGTGAACTTTTGTACATGGAATGTTATTTATGGAACCTTGAGGTAAACGGCAATGATGAAGGAAGGAGGTGACCAAGTTTGAATGTGTGTTTTTTATAATTATTATTGTTACAATTTTTTTGATATAACACTTACAAGTCTCTCGAACTCGATGGCTCTTGGTCTTCTTCAGACACCATGGTAACCGTCGTGTCGGGACCTTGCTGGCAAAGCATAGCGGTGTTCATTAAATGTAACCTGAAATTCAGAAAGAAAAAAAAATTGTATTAGATTGCCTCGCAACGCGCAAGGTATTGTAATAAGACGTCCAGACGAGTTAAGGCGATAGAAGATTACTATTACCTTGCCGTACTGAAAGTCTTAACCCACATATTATATATACCTATCAATGTCTAGATTTAATACCTCCAGGCGCCGCTGCGGTGTGCAATAAACACAGATTACTATTAAACACACTTTTACAGATTTTCCAAAACACGTTCAAAAAGTGTAATATATGTGTATAATGTAAATAGATACATCATATACATTATGAAAACACATATAAAGTGTACAGAGAGGATCTTACCCGGGCATTTTTACATGATTTTAAATCAGAGCTTTAGGCTTTGTTGTTGTGCGCTGCTGTACGCGCGATAAAACGGAGAATGTGTATACTTTACTTTATTTAATCTTCCTGACGGTTTTTTTTTTTTGCAAATACCACAAAAGATTTATCGAATCTCGTTTGAATCCAAAACGACTTCGTTCACATGTTATTATCGAAACACAACAACACCGAGTAGAGAATAAATCAAATATATTGTCGGGATGATTTTTGTCGTTGCAGATCCTTTGTGCATGCTGTTGTATTTGTAACCGCTATTAAATGCACGTTTAAATTAAATATAGTCTCCTTTACTTTTACACGAACAATGAGAAATCGACTAAATTTTAAATCAGACCTCAAATCAATACAATCGCAGCAGCGTGTATGTTTATGTTACTTTTAGTAATTGTCCAAAACTAGAAGCATTAGGTACTCCTCTTTGTTTGTCAAAACAAACAGCCTTTTTTTATCTTGCCTGTTTTAAAGAAAAAGGAATTGTCATCTCTTAATGTTCCCATTAAAAAATGTTGGAATATAAATTGCAGAAGCTTTAGTATTACATTGAAGGGACATTATTAGATATTCATAGATAAAGATAAACCAGTATGTGCTTAAATTATAATTGAAGTTTCAGGAATTTAAATACTTTACTATCTCTTACGGTACATCAAATACATATTTTGAAAAGCGTTGAACATAAGACGGCGCGTTGAGTATTTAATTTTACTTCGTAACACCGTATGTCTACGCCGTGTAATGTATAAAAATGATATTATGTTATACATTTTCACTGAATTTTTCACTTCCAAGTGATTAAACATGACAGGCATTAGTTAAAAATTATTTTTCGACATTCGAGTTCTTTGACGACTTTACACTAGAGTATGTGAGAAACAGATTTCCGTTAAAAAAAATCAGTTTTTTGTTATTGAATACATTTAAAAAAAAACAATTTTTGTCCGGTATTTTGGTCTAAAACGTCAAAAATACAGACTACTATCAATTTCCTTAGCCTTCAGTGGTTATGAAATAATCAATCAATCGACGACAGACGCAGCTTGACTTTGTTCATCCGAAGTAGTAGCCACACCATGTTTCTACGGTTAATTGTATTTTGCTTTAAAAAGTTAATCCACTAAAACACATAATCGGTTAAAAAACAAAAAAATTATGTTATATTGGATTATTAAATTTAGTTTATTAAATCAGATCTTGGTTAACGTCATGGTGTATACTATGATTGTGTCAAGTTAAGTGTTATGATGAGAGCTAACTAAACATTATGCTCCAGAGCTGTCCAAAATGTTTGTAGTAGTTATAGTTTAAGGTAATGGAAATTAAAATTAGAAAATACATTGTTTGGGGGTTTACAAGGAGCCAAAGGGTGTTTTATCTAAAAAAAAGTATGGGCCAAAAAAAAAAACCAACAAGTTATCTTGGATTCAAACAAATAGTACCTATTGTACCTGTTAACAAATATGTTCTTAAAAATTGTAATTTTAGTATTAGAGGGAATACAATTAAGGCTGTTAGTCTGTCTGTGATAATTGATTGCCATAGTTACTCCTATATCTGTTGGCTGATGATTCACTCACACGCAGCAACCTAGAAGTTGACTATGGTCAATGTGTAATTTTTTTGCTTTTTATGAAAATTTAGTTCTCTGATGCAAAATGTTCAGTTGTTCGTTGAGAGTATTATACCGTATTCGCCTGGTGTAATTTCGTATTTACCTCACGTATTGCGTCGTAGAATTTATAACAGCGTATACGAGCACCCCATGAAGTATTGATTAGGGTGTTATGATTTAAGTTTATAATTCGATACCCCCCGGCTGAGGTAATCCATTAAAATCCGGCGGTGAACTAAAACCGTTCGCATTAGCATTCCCTTAAAACCGTTATTGTACCATACACGTAACAGGTACTCTCGGTAGCTTTATAATGCGAAAGTATGATATTGCACACCACCTCTGTCCCAGGTCACCTATTACATTATTATTATCCAAAAAAAAAGTGAAACGGGTCATCATTCGCGAAACGGGTCGCCGACCAGTCATAAATTTCGGTTGCTTTTTGAAAAACTACTATAATTAAATTAGGAACAAAAAGTAAAACAAATTTGATCTCTTTTGGTATTAGTTCGATGGTAGAGAAGATTGGTCTTCGAATTTTGGATTCACAAATGGAGTAGGGTTTTAATTTTGTTTGTATGTATTAGGGTGGCGCAAAAAAAAATCGATCTTCGAAATGTTAATGGGCCAACATTTAAATTTGTTCTATACATCAAAAAAGAAACTTGGTGAAAATTTGAGATAAAAAAAAAATTTTCTGGTCGCTCAACGCGTTTTAAGTAAATTGACCAAAAATTTTCAAAAAACCCAAAAATGACTTAAATTATAACATTTTTGGTCAAAAATCCTCATTAGCACATCTAAATTGTAGTATTTTTCGCGTTGAGTACAACTGTTTGAGTTTTAAAATCCTAAGTTAAAAATTAATTACGTAATTAACAAAAATTCGTAATTAAACGGTTAATTTTCAATTAACCTAAACATATATAAATTAAATAAATTGTAATCAAATATAACAGCCAAAATTCATAACGATAAGTATTTTATTATTTGACACATAATACACATTTTTCAGTAAAACGTTCATTTTGGTGCACGAAAAAATGACAAAAAAGGTATAAGTTTTTAACATTAGTAAAAAAAATGTTTCCACTAGAAACATACATAACGTTCAACAAAATAAAGTATTAAAAATTAAAAAAAAAATTTTTTAGTTAATTTAAGCTTAATTGAAAATTAACCTTTTAGTTACGAGTTTTTGTCAATTACGTAATTAATTTTTAACTTAGGATTTTAAAACTCATACAGTTGTACTCAACGCGAAAAATACTACAATTTAGATGTGCTAATAAGGATTTTTGACCAAAAATAGTTTAAGTCATTTTTGGGTTTTTTGAACATTTTTGGTCAATTTACTTAAAACGCGTTGAGCGACCAGTAAAAATTTTTTTTTTTATCTCAAATTTTCACCAAGTCTCTTTTTTGATGTATAGAACAAATGTTAGCCCATTAACATTTCGAAGATCGATTTTTTTTGCGCTACCCTAGTATGTATTGAAAAATATACAATATAAATAGACGTCTCAAAGAAATACTCAAATAATGAAATTTGAAGCATCTAAACTTTATTAATACCTCAGATTTAAATATATATATATAGATTTAGCATCCAATTAGTTTCATTGAGAGTAGTTTTATTGCAATTTAGAGAGTCCACCATTCCACATTAAAGTATATATTTTCAGCAATGATTATTATTCTCTTTTGGCCTGGTTAGGTAGGCAAAGCCTCATCTTTTTGTAATATACACTTGCTGGTCAAAAACAACTTTAAGTATGATATGTTCAAGATGTTTGTAATAGAAGTATTTTCGAGAACCTATAGCAAGCGTTAATAGCATAATAGGGGCGGTATAATTAGATGAATCGTTATTAGCTTACTCCGAATTGAGAACAGCTAAATTGAGGATTATTATAAAGTCTTGAGGAATACGTCCCAGTTCAATACATCTGAAAAGATAATTTTAATCCATATTTCAAGCGCCATTGTGGTTTTTTTTTTATAAATCCTGGACATTTTTCGTCAGATCCAGTAAATTTCCATAGGTTAATTGTTCATTTGTGTAACAGTAGCCATATAGTAGTGTGCATGCTACTTTACTATAACTTGAGAGGGTGTTCACACAATAGTTCGATGGTAACTGTATATTACAATGCATGATTGTACTAAGTCTACTATTGCAATAGTTCAAGACTGTAATAGTATGCATTTTCAGGGTAATATAGTTGTGTACCTCACATGGTACCACCTTTGTATACGATCAAATATCCGCGACATATGACGAGACATGTAATTCGTTTAGTAGTTGATATTGGCTAATTTGGTTGGTTCGTAGAAAAGTGATTAACTTGGGTTCTTTAGATGTATAGTTCGTAGAAGTTGAAAATTCCACGGCTACGAATTTCATTGGTTTAGCGGAATATTTATCTTGTACTAATTTAATTCCGGTTGTCTTACGGGCGAGATTACGTTTGAGCTGGCGGCAACAAATAGTGGTGGGAATTAGTATAATGTTGTTTACTTTGCTATACACCCGGCGAGATCAGGTGTATCTTACCGTTAAGCTAACAAAACCGTTTCTGAAAATCCATATTTCGCTTCGATTTCTGCCAGTCGACTGTTGTGAATGTATTCGCCTTTACACGGCGACTTTTAGGTGAGTGTAGTAAGCAAAAAAAAAAAACGGAGCACCCTAAAAACAGATAATGTTAGCGTAATATTCCTAGGAATATTGTATTGTAGTAGTTCTTCTAGAATTCGGTCTACCTTTCGACCGAAATTTATTATTCAGCGACACGCTTGCGGATGACTAAAACTCCGATCATCAGCCGCTTCTGCCGTATTATCTTCCATATTAACTCGCCGGTTTATAATTCTATTATTTTACACGGTCCACCGATCACTGTTTGGCAATCCGTTCACGGCACTCACGTTCTCCAAGGTACCTGACACGTCATAAATCTCAACGTCTAAGAAAGCAAACGAGCAGCTACGTTGTGCACAAGCGTGGTGTCG